CTTTTATTTGTATTTATTTTATTTATTTTTTATTCTTTACATGGTGTTTTTTTGTTTGTTTTACATGGTGCCAAGTCTGCACAACAGAAAATATGTGAAGTATAGCTTTACCAGATTTAAGTTTTCATGTGTTTTCTGTACACTATAGAACATGGTTCTAAAAAAAAAAAATCATGTCAGGGATTGGGTGTGTTTATTTTATATTCTGCCAAGAATAGAAAATACCGTCAGGGATTCCCAAACAATGCAGAACTGTATGTGGTTGATACCTTGTTTTTAGAAAATTTCAAATGTTTAAAAATATATTTAGGAAGACATTTCTGTGCAATACATATTTTTATTTAAGTTGTTTTTGTTGTATATGCAGCTAAGTGCTAGCACTCCAGAAGATGTGTGTGAGGTGAGGTCCATCAGAGAGTGGTTCATTGTATGGGGACCTGATATGTTCAATGTGCTCCTGAGAATTTACCCCAGAAGAAGGGTATAGCATAGCTTTTATTTTGGAAAAGGACATTTCTCTGAAATAAACTCGTTTCCAAACTCTTTTATTCTTTTATTATTTTTGTTGTTTCAGCAACATTTCATTTAAAAACTGTATTTTTGAGTTAAAAGAAATATTTATAATCGTAATAAATTACAAATTAAAAAAGGCATGAACATTTTTTTGTATCGAAAAAATATCGAACCGTGACACCAAAGTATCGAACCGCACCGCACCGTGAATTTTGTGTATCGTTGCACCCCTAGTATATGTACAAGAGCACGTGCATCAAGGTTGTTGTGTTCAATGCTGGATTAAAAGTATTCACTTGAATCATTAGAAACTGTAAGTAATAGGATAATTTAGTTATTTTCAGTGTGAACTTTAATGTTCTATTTTATTTGTTTACTTTGCTGTACAGTTTAACACAATTCCTGTTTGTCTACAGTGTTGCTCGCCAGTACACGTCCAGAGGGCAAACACATTTTCCAACAGCTGGAAGCAGCTTTAAAAGTAATTTAAAGACTTTCAGATAGAAGCCACACAGCAACAGGTTCTGTTTCATTCAGTGCTGTATTATTTCATTTAGAAATTGGTATATTTCCCTAGTGGTGCCATGATTGGTGGATGTTATCTTTAAACAAAAAGAATAACAAAAGAAAAAGAAGACATTTTCTAGATTCTAGACTGAAATATTTCAAATAACATGGCAATGGACACTGGAGCTTAAATTCTCTAGTTTATGCTCTGTTTACATGTACTTATGCGTGATATAATATGGATATACTAAATCTAGTAGTGAGACAGTTTACATTCTAACGATATGACTTATAAGAATTGAGCAGTTCAGAGGAGTTGATGTTCTGGCCTGAATTTCAGGTCCCTCAGCGGTAACACAATACAAGGCAAATTGCTAGTGAACAAAAGTGTGTCCTTTCATTCAAATGTGCTTAATAAAACAGACATTGGGAGAGGCAGTATAAGACTAATTACATGCATGTGACTGTCCATGTGTGTGTGTTGGTATGGGAAAGTAAAAGAGAAAGACAGCGAGAGACAGAGAAAGAGAGATGAATAAAAGTAGAACGCTAATCCAGTGATGAATCTGTGTGTATTTTGGTGCTGTCAGCTCTGATTTATCACCAACACTTTATTCAAGGTCCTGAAATTAGTAAGTCGCTCCACAAGATGGAAACCCCCGACTTCAGCGATGGTGACAAACTGGGTGTCTGCAGCTGTGTTCGAGTGTATGTCTGTGTGTCTTTTTATGTGCATGCATTTAATGTGTTCACCTGCATAGGTTGTTTAACCCAGCCTATGATGATGTGTGGGTGTGTGTTGATGTCAGACAAATTAGCTCCCGAACTGAGAATGCGGTCAGACCACTGCCAGTCATGAACACACCTAATAGAAACAGTTTTACCTCTGGGACAAAAGTTTCTTCAAGGTGCACTTCCGCTCCCCGGTAGATGAAGAAAATAGTATTAGCTGAATGATAGACTGAGGCTATTATAAAGGTAGGGGTGCTGGGGGGTGCTGGGATAGCGGGTGCTCCTGAGGACATTATGAGAAGCAGTACTCTGGCTGATGATGAAAAGGCTGAAGGCTCTGGCTGGGAGAATTTGTTGAGATATAGCCACGATACAGCAGGTCCTGGGGCCAGGACAAACGCTGCCAGGGCTGAGGCTGCGAGATAAAATAAAGTGATTTTCTACACCTTAACTTTTCTCTCTTTCTTGCCTCTTTACCCTCTCTGTATCTCTCACCTGTTGGACAATAAAGGTTACAGTAGAGTGCTCTTCCCTGCTGATGCTATCCCCATGTCCTCTTTTGTCCATGAGGTTCTGTTTATTTTACGTTTTTTTTTATAAAAATCAGTTTTTAAGCGAACAAGACCCTCACAGATCACGTACTATAAATTATATAGATCCTTTGCTTCACAGCTAAACACTTTGCGAACACTGATACTGTTTTCAAACTGTTTAATATTACCAATCACAACATTAAAACCACCAGTTTAATACAACTGTCAAATGCGCTGACACGTGACCTGTAGGGATCACCAGGAGGTCTGGAGTCTGGCACCACAAGGCTCGCAGTGGATTCTTCAGGTTGGTTTTCGGGTAATGCCTAGGTGAATCGTGCTGGTTCAGTAAGGGTCTGGCATGCTGAGAGTACTTTGTCTGGACTCTTTCTAAAGTTTTTTGGGCTGATACTTGTGCAGCAAATGTTTTTGCCACAAAAACTGTACAAATTTACCAGTATGTCTGTTATAACTTGGTCTTAATATTTTATTTATTTATTTTGATCACTTTAAAAAGAATGACATTGAGGGTGAGTGGTAACTCTGTCAATACACTGAAAAATGTCACCATAATTTAATCTTGTTATGCAGGTCCATATGGCAAGTGAATTGGTTCATATTGCTTTTTCTCTCAACTTGAGGACTCAAAATGCTTAATACAACATGTCTCATTTAACTCACATTCAAAGAAGCACTTATTTTCCATATCCAAATGCTTTATATCTAACATTCACATACATTCATACCCCCATGAACGCATCAGATAGCAAATTGGGGTTCAGTATCTTGCCCAAGGATACTCTGGCATGAAGACTGGAGCAGGGATGGGGTCACCAACCTAAATAACCTGCTCTTCATCCTGAGCTACAGCCACTCCGGTGACGCTGGATATTTCCAAAACAATCCAGTTGTTGTTGCAGCTTGGTCCTTGATGTGACTGCACACCCTCCTCTTGTTGGAGCAGATATATAGCTGAACCTGGGATTCTGTGTTTTATGCTTCCAGACGAGATTGGCGCTTCAGTTGGAGATGGATGCATTCTGGATAGAGGAGGAAAGTCCTATATCCCTGCTTGACTCTGAGGAAAAGGAGAGAACTGAAGACGATGGGGTAGAGAATAATGGATAATGGAAGCGGTGCGAGCCAGGGAGGACAATACAACTGGTGCAGGTGAGTGACAAAGCAGATGAGAGAAGAGGGGATAAGTCTGGATATCAGAGAATGCAGGCATGTGTAGAGATGGATTGGTGCTAGCTGGCCCTGGGTGTACCTGATATCAGTTGTAAGTGCAATGAAAAAAAAATGGGCAAAAGGAGGTGGATGATTAGAGAGACAATGAAAGTAGAGGGAAGAAGAGTAGAGGAGGGTTAGAGGACAAGGAGAAGAATCGGAGGGGAAAAACCAGGGTGATGGGAGGGAGAGTAGGGTGTACGTGTGTGTGTGTGTGTGTGTGTGTGTGTG